TAGAAGTGCAGTGTATGCTGCTAAAATACACCAGCTTTCCTCAACGTGTTATATTTCAGATGTGATTAACTACAACTTCTATTGTCCCCAATCAGCATGTTTGTGCTGGCTGGCTGGCAGCATTGGGGATTCAAGCTGAAAAGGTCTAGAAAACACGAGGTGCAGCCATTTAATTTTAGAATATATCCTGGACTGTACCTTGTTGAGGATCTTTCTCTCCTTCCGTTGAAACTTTTGTTCCTATTACCCTCAAAATATGAAACTGTGCTCTGAAACCAGTGCAGCCTAGGGAGCCAGGGAAAAACCTTGAAAACCAGGCCTCATGTTTTAAGAACCTTTTTTGCTGGTTTCATTGAAATGACCAAGTATTGACTCCTCAGTCCTGAGGCCATAGCTCAAATATTTCTCCATTTCTTTTAGACTGAGGGAACACGTGGCCAACAAGGACAAACTGCCCATCCTAATTTTCCCAGAAGGTAAGAGGAGGACATCAGCAAGAGAACTTTCGTTTATATTTCTTACGGTGAAAAAGAAATTTTAAAAAAAGGTTTTAAAAAAGGCAAACGTGTGGTGGCACCTTGAAGACTAAGTTTTATATATTTTTTAATGTGAGCTTTCGTGGACACGTCTACTTCATCAGGCATAAAAGAAGGAGATACAACATGGCAAATATTTATACTAGGCCTCAAGGTTCTGAGCGGTCAGTAAGAAAGCATCTTTGATATGCAGGTCTTTAGTAGAAACTTGTGCTGTAAAACTGTGTCCCCAACCCCTGGGCTGCGGACCTGTACCGGTCCGTGGACTTGGAAGGACCGAGCTGCTGGAACAGGTGAGCAGCGAGTGAAGCTCCACCTCTTGTCAGCGTGCTCCTATTACGTTCTAATGCCTCTGCTGATCTGACAGGAGGTGAAGCTTCAATGGCAGCTCACCTCCTGCTGCTGCTACATCAGCTGTGCCTGTGGCATTAGAATCTAATAGGAGATGCTGCTGATCTAATAGGAGGTGGAACTTCGATTGCAGCTGACCTCCTGCTTGCCATTTCCTTTATGAGCTCAATTCAAAGCCATCCTCCAACAACCTACTTCATAACAAGTATCCCCCACCCCCCGGTCCTTAGGAGAATGGTCTAAACCTGCCCCGGTGTCAAAAAGGTTGGGGACCATTGCTGTAAAGAGGGCGAGACCCTCTGTCATAGGTTAACAATGGTAAGATAACAATGGTAGAGTAACAGGAATGTTAATCAGATGGTCTATTTACAGTCCTTGATGAACTTTTCCCCTACAAGATGTTCTTTGTAATCATTTGCAATTTCCCCAGATAATGGATGACCATGAGAGCAGGGTAGAATCTCTTATACCATAGAGACATGTCTAAGCTGGCTCTGTTAAGGGGAGTTAAATATCTGGGAGAGGTAGTACAACATTCGTAGTGTTCATATCCGGTAGTGCCCGTTTTCTGACAATGTTATCATTTGAATTGTCCTTCAGCTCCCACTGACAAGACAGCAATATTTACAGAATTCTATCTCGTCACAGTCAGCCTGGCCCTTAAGATCTGTCAGGCTGCAAGGTTTGCCAGAATGCCAGACGTGTCGACTCCCCTTTCAGACACGGAACAGAAAGTATAAGTGTTTGGCGTGTAAATGCTGAAAACAGAGCCTGTTCCACTTATCCTCAATGCTTTTGCTACCTCTTGGTGTGGATCACGGGGAGGTGAGAGCTGAGGAATGAGCAAACTAGGGTCATGACAGGGTCTCTCACATTTTGGACTTTGAGGTAGTTATTACTATGGTAAATAGTACTCTTTTTTTTTGTTACATGTCAAGTTACTTTTCCCACTAATAGGTGACCCTATTAGTTAAAGACCTCCAAAAGGTCTTATTGTTAACAGCCTGTTTGAGCCTTGCAAACTAAAGCCGTGGCTTCCCTTTTTGAGTCAAACCAACTCATGTTCCATCTTCCTCTTTTGCTACCACCTTCCATTTGTCTGCTCCAGCATGGTCTTCTCTTTGCTGGATATGCCCAGAGTATGACAGCTTCAGTTTAGCCATTTGAGCCTTCAGTGAGAGATTTCAGGCTTGATTTGATCATATCAATGGTAATTACTGATAATCTCTCACCCCCATTTTATGGAACTGTTAGTCTCTTGCAAGATCCAACAGAGGAAAGGAAATATGGAGAACTTTTTAGGTAGGGATATATTTATCCTGGTGGATGAAGGTTTCTCCCCTTATCTACTTCCTCAAATTATTTGCACCACTTGTGTTTGTGTGTATGCTTATGTTATTGATCTCACTCTAATGCTTTCTCTTTGGCCAGGCACTTGTATAAACAACACTTCAGTAATGATGTTTAAAAAGGGAAGTTTTGAGATAGGTGGCACCATCTACCCAGTTGCCATCAAGGTAAGAGAGCATAAGCCTTTCTGGTGGTACCTTAATTGCTGGCAATCTGCATCTGCCAGCAGGATCCCTCCTGTTGTGCAGGTGGAGCTACTACGCAATAGGATACTGGCCACAGAGTCGAGTCTCAATGCTAAGTTGAGTAATTGGTTATATTAATTCATTTTAAAAGATAGCCTAGTTTTAATTTGTAATTTGTAAATGGGTTATGTATACATTTAAAATAAACCTAGTTGAAGCATTGTGGTACATGTGCTCTGAAATGTCCGCTTGGGTTTTGGAAATAGGGATGAAAATGTCCTCGTTTTTCAGTATGACCCCCAGTTTGGCGATGCCTTCTGGAACAGCAGCAAGTATGGCATCGTAAGCTATCTCCTGCGAATTATGACAAGCTGGGCCATCGTATGCCACGTGTGGTATCTGCCACCAATGACAAGAGAGGTATTTTTTAAAAATTTCTAATATTGCTTTGCTCAGATGCTGGAATTTCGACCTGCAAGAAAAAATTCTTTCCTATCAAAATCCCTGTCGCGTGTTGAGAGTGACCAAGCAGAAACCCCTTATCTAAGAGAGCCTTCTCTGTAGCTGCTCCCAGACTCTGGAACTCCCTCCCACAGGAAGCCAACCTGGCCCCATCTTTGCTGTCCTTCTGCAAGCAGACGAAGGCCTTTCTCTTCAGGCAGGCTTTCCTTTAAAGGGCTGTTTAACCGACATGATTTTTTTTAAAGGAACTATTGTGTTCTGTTGTTTTATTTGTGTTTTTCATGTTGCTCTTCATAAATCAACTTGAATATGATATCTGTTTAATTCTTTTTAAATATTGCAATAATTTTTATTTTAGCTTTCATCTTTTTTAAAATTCTATAAGCCACCTTGGATCCTTTAGGAGAAAGGCGGTGTATAAATATTTTAAACAAACACTCTGTTTCTCCCTTCTTATAAATGGCATAGTTAAATTTCCAGTGGCATTCCTGAAGGTTGCACAGGATTGGCTTCTCACCCTTCGTTGCTTGCTTTGCAGGAAGGAGAGGATGCTGTTCACTTTGCCAACCGGGTGAAGTCTGCCATTGCTCTCCAAGGAGGACTCACTGAACTGCCCTGGTGAGAAAGCCCTGGCCAAGGCTTTGTATCAGGAGATATTTTTTTCCCCTTTCGTTTGAGTCGGTGGCACTCTAGAACTCTTAAATCTGATCCGGAAGGCGGTTCTGGAACCGTTTTCTATGCCAGCCTCTTAATCTCGAAGCACTTTTTAATTTCAAAAGGGAAGACAGTAGGAAGAAAGGAGCCCTTCGGATGCCATCTTGGTAGAGTGAGGATGGTCCAATTTATTTCATAGATGGCCCGGCTGGTATCCATAGCTTGTAGGAGAAGAATCTGCACAGACAGGCCAATGTCTGTGTTACCTAATATCCATTGGACTGCACATTTTCCTGTGCCTTTTGGAGCATTTGCCTGGGGAACGGGCAACTGTATGAAATCTCTGTCCATGCACCAAATTGTACATGCTCTCCACACTGTTTCAGGTGGCTGGGCTATTACTGCTACTGAGCCCTGAGCCCCTTCTGGCCGTTCCAAAGCATTGCTTTCTCTTTCCCCTGTTCCAACAGCTATTTGTTTTTTGATGAAAGGGCCAGACGTGTTCACTCACCAAGGATTGGGGATAAAAATGGGATTCATGCAAACCCACAGCATCTAGTTACCCCTGGATTTTGTGAAACTGGAAATGAACTTGTGGCCAAGTCTAGTTTCTCCCTGCTTCACTGCCCTGCAAATTGTGGGCGTGGTATGGCATGCAGTGGGTGCAAGAGGGTAGAAAATTGATTCCCAAGAGCCTTGGAGTTTGTGACCACCCTTGGCAGTGAGCTAGTGCTTCCTGGTCTTGTTCTGAATCAGTTTTGCGATATCATCCCCAAGCCAACTCTGGCTGTACTGCTCCCTTCAATGGCTGTGGGATGACGTTCCAGGGAAAGGATGGAAGGAATTTGCAATGCAGCAGAATCCATTTTATGAAACTAGTGAAAAGAGGGTTGAACAAGGATATGAGTAGCTATATTTTGCTTTCCCTTTGCAGTGATGATATCTTGGTGCTCCCTAGTTGCACATTCTTCTCTGAACTTCTTCCTTTTTAGGAGTCTCCTAAGGACAGATCATGAAGCTGAAGCTCCAATACTTTGACCATCTCATGAGAAGAGAGGACTCCCTGGAAAAGACACTGATGTTGGGAAAGTGTGAAGGCAAGAGGAGAAGGGGACGACAGAGGACGAGATGGTTGGACAGTGTCACCGAAGCTACCAACATGAATTTGACCCAACTCTGGGAGGCAGTGGAAGACAGGAGGGCCTGGCGTGCTCTGGTCCATGGGGGTCACGAAGAGTCGGACAGGACTAAACAACAACTTACTTACTAAAACTTACTTACTAGGAGCCCCATAGCGCAGTGGTTACACTGCAGTACTGCGGCAAAATCTCTGCTCAAAACTCAGGTTGAATCGCAGATATCTGGGCCTTCTATCCCTCCAAGCTTGGTCAGTTGAGTACCCAGCTGGCTGAAGGTCAATGTTGTTGTTGTTTAGTCATTAAGTCATGTTCGACTCTTTGTGACCCCACGGACCAGAGCACACCAGGCCCTCCCGTCTTCCACTGCCTCCTGAAGTTGGGTCAAATTCATGTTGGTTGCTTCGATGATACTGTCCAACCATCTCGTCCTCTGTCGTCCCCTTCTCCTCTTGCCTTCACAGTTTCCTAACATCAGAGGCTTGTCGTACTCTTCCCAATTTTGAACCAATCAGTTGTTCCATATCCAGTTCTAACTGGTGCTTCCTGTCCCATGTATAAGTTTCTCAGGAGATAGATAAGGTGGTCAGGCACGCCCATTTCTTTAAGAACTTGCCATAGTTTGCTGTGGTCCACACAGTCAAACGCTTTTGTGTAGTCAATGAAGCAGAAGTAGATGTTTTTCTGGAACTCTCTGGCTTTCTCCGTAATCCAGCACATGTTAGCAATTTGGTCTCTAGTTCCTCTGCCCCTTAGAAATATAGCTGTACTTCTGGGAGTTCTCGGTCCACATATTGCTGAAGCTTACCTTGTAGGATTTTGAGCATAACCTTGCTAGCGTGTGAAATGAGTACAATTGTATAGGAGTTGGAGCACTCTTTGGCACTGCTCTTCTTTAGGATTGGGATGTAGACTGATCTTTTCCAATCTTCTGGTCACTGCTATCTCTTGACTCCCTACTTTAGCATTCCAGTCCCCTATAATGAGAAGAACATCTTTCTTTGGTTTCAGTTCTAGAAGATGTTGTAAGTCTTCATAGAATAGGTCAGTTTCAGCCTCTTCAGCATGGGTGGTTGGTGCATGAAGTTGGATTACTGTGATGTTGAAAGGTCTGCCTTGGATTCGTATTGAAATCATTCTATTATTTTTGAGATTGTATCCCAGTACAGCTTTTAGGGTGTTATATAAAAGGTGGCAAATTCTGGATGGCAAAGGTGTACAATAGTTCTGCACAGATAATGTTGTGCCCATGAGTTGCGGATGTATGTGGAACAAGAAGTGAAAGATCGAGTAAATGCTTGGGCAGTACAGTAAACGTGACTTAAATAATGTAAACACATCGAGAACCAGAGACCCACCCAAGAATGGAGAGGTTACATTTTCAGTCTCAGAATTAAAGATCATTAGAAGCTAAATGAATTTAAGATGTTATCATGATGGGTAAAGGTAATTCTTCTTGTATCTCCCTTTTTTTCTTGTTTCAAGGGATGGGGGTTTGAAACGAGCTAAAGTGAAGGAGACTTTCAAGGAGGAAGAACAGAAAAACTATAGCAAAATGATCATAGGTAACGGAGCAACGTCAAGTGGAACCACAGACTCGGACTGAAAGCTCCCAGTTGTGATTTCTTTTGCCTCAGCACCACAGAATAATTTGGCTTTTTTCTCCAGTTAGAGAACGATAATAAAGCACCAAGCGTGGGCAATGGAGGGAGATGCTTAGTTTTCTCATCGGTTTGCTTCCGTCCTCCCGTAAGTTCCCAGTCTTGATGTCTGGAAAAGAGGAATGGATCTCGAAGCAGAATGGAAAATCCTGGTGCTTAAAAAAAAAGATGGTCTGCAAATTTGGAGTCTTTCTCCAAAGGGAATGTACATAACAATAAAATGGAATTATTTAATTGTATGCCAGCAGTGGTATCATCCCCGTGTTTATGGAATGTTTGAACACATTTTCCTTCCTGTTCACTCTGACTGGTTGCTGTGCGTTGATTACTTGAATAGATGGTCTTACATTTCTGAGGTAGTTTTCTAGGTGGGTTTTTTGTTTGTTTGTTTTTGTTGTTTTCCGGTCCTTGTTGTTGATGAGATGTCTTCAGGAGGAAATAACTATCTGAATATTATCAGTCTAAATGTGGATGGCTGGTTGACTTTATTTAGAAGTCACGATGAAGAGGTAGAACAGGCTGTGTACTTTGGGAGAGTTACAAGATCTTTCGCTTGTTGAGAGAAACCCACCTCTTCTCTCAAACATATTTCTAAAAAAAAATCCCAATAAATCCAGAAATATGACTGATACAGTCAGTCTCTTTCTATGTATATGTATACGTGCCCTGGACAAGAGAAAAGGGCAAGCGATTTAAAAAGTCCAGCCTTGCAATTTTGTTTACAACTTTAATATTAAAACTCTTACAGATGGGAGGGAAGAAATACTAGAGATAAGCAATGTTTAATAAAATACACTTCTCTCATGGACTGTGTTGGCAACAGCCTATATGTCTATCTGTCACTGTCTGAGAAATATGTCATGTTGCCTTATTGTAAATTGAAATAAAAATCTATATTTCTAATCTTTGGTAGTTACTGTTTTCTTTCCCAGAGGTGTGTATACTCCATTGTTAAGGATAATAATCTGGGGCAATGTTGCATAAATTCTGTGCTTTGTATAAATGATTTATTATATGTAAAGGTAAAGGTTCCCCTTGACATTTAGTCCAATCGTGTCCGACTCTAGGGGTCGGTGCTCATCCCCGTTTCCAAGCCATAGAGCCAGCGTTTGTCCGAAGACAGTTTCTGTGGTCACCTGGCCAGCGCGACTAGACACGGAACACTGTTACCCTCCCACCGAGGTGGTACCTATTTATCTACCCGCATTTTTACATGCTTTCGAACTGCTAGGTTGGCAGGAGCTAGGACAAGCGACGGGATCTCCTTCATTTGGATTCGATCTTACCATTGCTGGTCTTCTGACCCTGAAGCACAGAGGCTTCTGCGGTTTAACCCGCAGCGCCACCATGTCCCCCTTGTTATATGTACCTTTGTATAATTCCTGCTGTTATTGCTCATAATTGTGATGAACAAATCAACATCACCAAAGACCCATCACTTACGAACGTCAGACGTATATCCTTGTTGGCTTCTGATATTTTCTTGTGCACTGTCACTATTCTCCAAACTTATTTATCAGAAACATAAAAGCTAGAATTTTGGTATTCTGGAAATTTAAAACACAGGTACCTCTTAATATTGTTGCTTGTCAGCAACCAAGCATTTCCTACTCCTGGGTAAAATTTTGTTACTTGTGTTTGGGAGAGGGTTACTGTGCCCAGCAGACTTGTGACTGTTTAAAAGCAAACTGATGGGGACCTTCAAGGCTGCCAGGGCAGACTCTGTTTATACAAGAGTCTGCCCTGGCAGCCCATTCAATATACAGTGGTGCCTCGCTTAACAACGATAATCCGTTCCAGGAAAATCCCTGTTAAGCGAAAACATTGTAAAGTGAAATTAAAAACCCCATTGAAATGCATTGAAAACCGTTCAATGTGTTCCAATGGGGTAAAAACTCACAGTCCAGCGAAGATCCTCCATACGGCGGCCATTTATGCTGCCTGTATAGTGAGGAATCCATCCCTAAGCACAGCGGGGAACCATTCTAAACACCCGGTGGCCATTTTGAAAACCCGATGATCAGCTATTTTTGACCGTCGTAAAGTGAAAATTGGTTCCCAAAGCAGGGAACTGATGATCATTGTATGTACCTTTGTATAATTCCTGCTGTTATTGCTCATAATTGTGATGAACAAATCAACATCACCAAAGACCCATCACTTACGAACGTCAGACGTATATCCTTGTTGGCTTCTGATATTTTCTTGTGCACTGTCACTATTCTCCAAACTTATTTATCAGAAACATAAAAGCTAGAATTTTGGTATTCTGGAAATTTAAAACACAGGTACCTCTTAATATTGTTGCTTGTTGGCAACCAAGCATTTCCTACTCCTGGGTAAAATTTTGTTACTTGTGTTTGGGAGAGGGTTATTGTGCCCAGCTGACTTGTGACTGTTTAGAAGCAAACTGATGGGGACCTTCAAGGCTTCCATTTCCCCTTCTGACAGTTATTTCTCGCAATCGTTAAGCAAGGCACCACTGTAAAATGCCCCTAAATAGAAGACAGCTTTAACATAGGATAGGGGGCACTATAAAATGAAGTACAGACTATACAGTATGTGGCAGGGGATGTAGAGTCCTCTAGATGTTGGACTGCATTTTCCTTCAGCCTTAGTCAGCATTGCTAGAGTAAGATGATGGGAGTTGCAGTCAAATATCAACTGGACAGCCACATTCTTCATCGTTCTTCTCCGAAGCAGGGAACTGATCAACATGAAGTGAAATCCCCCCCGTTTAAACCATCATTTTGCAATTGCTTTTGCGATTGCAAAAACGTCAACGTAATGAGGATTCATCATAGAGCGGGGTAATCGTCCAGCAGGGCACGACTCTATTGATCTATGATGAAACAGTCCAAAATGGGCATGTTAGGACAGGAGAACTCAAGGGAATCCTCCTTCAACATTACAGCTTTTGCACTGCTTCAGATGTCAGAAGAGGCCCAATATAGTCACTTAGCGAAAAGACAGACGGTCTAGCTATATAAAACACTCAGAACATTCCAAAATTGCATAGCATTCCGGGCAATGAACCCCATTGAAATGCATTGAAAACCGCCCAATATAGTCACTTAACGAAAAGACAGAAGGTCTAGCTATGTAAAACACTCAGAACATTCCAAAAGTGCATAGCATTCCGGGCAGGAATGGAGAATGTGTGGACCAAATTTTGAATGGAAATTCCCATAACCCATCACATTTGGTGATGCTGGCTGAGGCTGATGGGAAGGAAGGCCACACTTTCCCCATGCCTGATCTAGGGAACTCCTCTATAGTACTTAGGAATCAGCCAGCTCTGAGTTGCTGAGATCCTCTTGGAGACAATGAAAATAAGTGTCTTATGGCTGGGTGATGAATGAGATTTTCATAGAACAGTGAGCTGAAAAGTGTTATTTGCACTGGACAGAGGGCGAGATGGTTGGACAGTGTCATTGAAGCGACCAACATGAATTTGACCAAACTCCGGGAGGCACTGGAAGACAGGAGGGCCTGGCGTGCTCTGGTCCATGGGGTCACGAAGAGTTGGACATGACTTAACAACTAAACAACTACAATTTGCACTGGAACTCTTCTAGTATGGAATGCTGGTTAGATCTAGCACATGTTTGAAAGCGTGACCAAAATAGCTACAGAAGGATGAATCAATTCCATGTTTTGCCACCAGATGGTGGCCTTGCAAATCATTTTACCAACCTGAAAGCCGTGGTGTGCAGCAGAGAGTTGATTTAAATGCATGTGAGCGCTACAATTACAAAATGATGGAATTTTTATGGAAAAATCCATTTTATTTCCTGCTTCTCCAATTCTCACATGCATTTCCAGCATTCAGAAAGAGTTTCCAAGCACTGGTCAAGTCTTGTTATCTGCCTGTGATTCCAGGGGCAGAAATGTAAGCTGGAGCCGTGGTGTGCAGCAGAGAGTTGATTTAAATGCATGTGAGCGCTACAATTACAAAATGATGGAATTTTTATGGAAAAATCCATTTTATTTCCTGCTTCTCCAATTCTCACATGCATTTCCAGCATTCAGAAAGAGTTTCCAAGCACTGGTCAAGTCTTGTTATCTCCCTGTGATTCGAGGGGCAGAAATGTAAGCTGGCATGTTATGACATTTAGAAGGGTATTTATATCCCGCCTATCTGGTTGGTTAAGACCACTCATGTTATGACATTTAGAAGGAAAACCCATTGAACAGCCTGAGGTTTATTTCTGAGTTAACCTAAACATATGGAGAGCTGTTCTATGTCAGGATACCAATCCTTCATCCATACACCCATTAGAGTGATTTGTATTTAACTCTGGCTGGGTTTTATCCATTCAGTTCTTATTTCCATCTTAAGAACCCAGTTTAAACACTGGAAAACATGAAATCAAAATTTTGACAAATTTAAAAGGATGTATATTTATCCGGAATTTTTTTTAGATCTTTTTCTCCAAAGAATTATTTAGACATTTTTTGAATGTTCTAAATGTACGTAACTATATATTTGTTTAAGTGAAGATTTATTTGTTTAGAAAGTTTGATAATCTGCTGAACTACACCTGAAACCACAGAAATTTTTAAAATACAATAAAACATTATTTTAAAATTTCAAAACAAATAAAGTGAATGGATAAGAAGTATGTTACCAAAACAGCATTTGGCACACTCCTATTTAAGAGTCTGTCCAGAAGGAGAACTTGTAACTAACTTTCTAGAATGGACGAGTCTACAGTCCTAAGAAACCTTTGCTGGGAAAATACTCTTACACCCTGTTGTTATAGCTGCACAGTAGTGTAGTCATGTTAATGCACAGTGCAGCAAATCAACATTCTACAAAACAATTCCAAACAGCGGGGAGGAGTCCAAACAAAAAATTATGACTCTGAAACTGGACTTCAGATTGACACCAGCTTTTGCACAGATTTAGCAACTAGGCCATTCTTGCTCTGTGCAAAAATTGGGGATGTTTAGGCAAATGGGTTTCAAGTTATTATTTTAAAATGTAAAAACTGCCCCCCCATGCAGTAACAAGAGATCCTGTATGTTCCCGGATTTAAAATAGCTCCTACAAATTGAAAAAGACCAGTCTTGCTTATTTTGAATACTTACTGAAAAACAGCCCTCGCAATTGCTTTGTGTTTGTGAAGGAACATGTGTGTATGCGCACACTCCCGCCCACCCACATATATGCACACCCACCAGTATGTATGCACACCCACCCATATGCATGCATGCACACACAGACACATGCATGCATGTCCCCCACATGCCCCGCTCCAAACATGCACGGATGTTCATCCCCCACCCCCCACGGTCCTTGGGAGAATGGTCGTCAACTAAACTGGTCCCTGGTGTTAAAATGGTTGGGGACCCCTGCTGTAGACCATCTCGACTGCTGCCATTGGTTTTGTCAACAAGCAGCACTTTGCAATGTAAAGCTTGGCATCCTTTTTTCCTGCTGGCAATGCGGGCACAATATTGTGCAGCAATGTCAGGCCATTTCTTGCTGTTTTGAATTGTTTGTACAGACACACAGTATCCCAGATTCCTAATCCAGAGGGTTGTTTTTTTTTAAAGAATTGAATTACCAAAAAGGCTCTGTTTACCCTGGAAAAGATTGCCATAAGTCGGAATTGACCTGATAAAACCTGGCTTTGCAGGCAATGATTCTCTTGTTTAAAATAAACTAAGAAATATTGTACAGGACGACTCCCTTATCTGTGGGATCAGTACATGCTGATGCACTTATCTACGGTCTGAAAATATGAAAAATATTCAACGAAAAATCCTAGAACTGTATATTTCTAAAGATGAAATTACCAGAACTAGCCACTAGAGCAAGTTAGAGATCATGCTATGTAAAGTGTTCACTATTAAAATAGTGTTTGCTATAATACTGTATGGGAGTCCTACAGTAT